AATTCGAAATAATATATATTGTATAAAAGCCCTATGCTGTCAGATAATTTTCTCAGCTTTATTTCAAGGCCAGCATATGATAATGTAATCAATATTGCTCATTTTTGTATAATAAAAAAATTAACTTTTCTCATATTAAAATTATGCTACATTTTTTAAGAGTTAAAAAAATACAATATTTTCTAAAAAAAATATGAAATCCCCTAATTAAATATTGAAAAAAGGCGGCAAAATGATAAACAATATCGAAACTATTAGTAGTGTGCAGTTTTCAGATAATGTTCACAAATAAAATAATATTGGCATTGACAGTATAAGTTTAAAAAAAAAATCCAATGTGAAGAAACTAGAACCACGTGTGTCACGATACCGCGCGTGTCACATATAGTAATAAAAAAATAAAATAAAAAAAAAACATTATAACTTTTCTTTTTCATACAAATAACAGTATATTAAAAATTTATATGCAAGAATTATTATTTATGTCCATAAAACAATAATATAAGAAAAAGGTATTAATTTTGAAATTGATAAGAAAGTTCAATTTCTCCCCTTTTTGGGTATTAAAAAACAGTAATTAAAAATAACTTTTTTTTTTTGAATTTTTTTTAATTTTTAACCTTTTTTTTTATCTCTTTAACCTTCATAATTCTAAACGATTTTTTATCGCACATCATCGATTGATTGATACTGTGTTTATCGAACTGTATAAGTTAAGGTCAATGTAAAAGCTACAGGTGTAAAGGTAAATGTCAACGCGCAGCTAGAAGAAAAATAATTTTTTGACCTATTATTTATATTGTGAAATATCCATGTCCTCATAAAACTGTTTTTTTAACTGATGGAGAAACACGTTGCAAAATACTACATCTGTTAATAAGAATTTTATCATTTAAAAAAACTTTTTTTTTTTAATTAAAAAAAATCCGATTAAATTTATATTCATAATTTAGTTATGATTTTTTTTTTTATTTTTAGCTATAAAGAATTGTTCACGGAAATACAAAGGTATATACAGAAATGTATATAGATATATGTGCTTTTTATGGAATGTGTATATAAATAATCGACGTGATAATAACACACGTGACATATTTTAAAAAGGCAAACAACGTCTATAGGAAAAATATGCGAACAATGTTGCTTAATTTAACCGCAAAAGAAAAAAAAGAATGGGATCTGCGATAAATGTGGGTTGATGACCATTTTACACGTGGTTTTGTGCACATATCGTCACGTGTTTTATATACTTGAGAAAACGTTAACCGTATGAATAAGTGATGTCATTAGGACGTCTTGAAATTTTTATCACTTAAAACTCACACGTGACTACACCCCCGTCTTGTTATAAAAGGAGCAGACAAATATAATAAAATATGAAAATTTAATCAAAAGGTCAAGAAACTATTGTACTGTATATATATTTTAAAATTCAAAAAAAAAATCATAATTGTTACCAATTTTTTTCAAAACATTTAAAAATTGATTTTTTTTTTACATCATTAGGGTCAGCCGGGATAAATCCCGAACGCTTTTAGTAAGTTTCAAAAATAACATAAGTTTTTTCTTTTAAGAGCATTTGAACCTTCGTGACGTCACAAATCATGGCGCATGACACGCAAACTTCTCAGGTATGTGAAAAGCACAATTTTGAATATTTTTTGAAAAAACCTTTTGGAAAATGTTCAGAATAACATAGACTCTGTCTGTTATGTGCGGAAAATTCAAAATTTTGCGTTTAAAACGTTTTTTAAACAATGTTAAGGTCACAAATCATGGCGCATGACACGCAAACTTCTCAGGTATGTGAAAAACACAATTTTGAATATTTTTTAAAAAAACCTTTTGGAAAATATTCAGAATAACACAGACTCTGTCTGTTATGTGCGAAAAATTCAAAATTTTGCGTATAAAACGTTTTTTAAACAATGTTTAAGTTGGTTGTCACAAGTAAGGAAAAATACACGAATTGCTTATATGTAGGCATTGTTTAAAAAACGTTTTAAACGCAAAATTTTGAATTTTTCGCACATAACAGACAGAGTCTATGTTATTCTGAACATTTTCCAAAAGGTTTTTTTAAAAAATATTCAAAATTGTGTTTTTCACATACCTGAGAAGTTTGCGTGTCATGCGCCATGATTTGTGACGTCACGAAGGTTCAAATGCTCTTAAAAGACAATATACTTCCGGTATTCTGGTGCATGAAGTTGTTACTTTACTTCCATAGAACGGATTTTTGCAAAACTTGGTACAGAAAGTATTTTGAAGTGATTGAATGTAAATACAAAAATAAAAGTCAAATTTTTTAAATTCAAAATGGCGGATTCAATATGGCGGACTTTCCTAAAACTTATATTTTTAAAAATGATCAAATTTGCTAACTCCAACTTCGTAATCAGCGACTCTGAAACCCCCCGAGTAACAATTTTCGAGCGAATCCAATGAATTTTTTTATTCTCGTCCGCCATATTGGATCCGCCATTTTGAAATTTGAAAAATTGACGTCAAATTGGTAATCAGCGACCCCAAAAACCCTAGAATACCAAATTTTATTAAGATCCTGAAAAACTTTTTTCAACAAACCATTTGGCAAAAAAAAAGTGGAACACTCCATCGAGAGAGCAGAGATTAAGTTTCTGCTTATTAATTACTAACGAGGATACATATGGGGCATTCTATGGGAAATTTTCATTGAAAATTTTTTTTTGTCCGAAACATTTTTTTTCGAAATCTATATGAAAAATAAGGAAATACGTATTTTTCCTCACAGAATTCAAGCATTTTTTCTACAAATATAACCTTTTTCCATTAACATTCATTTGTTTTTTTTTTAATTTTCATAAAAACAAACTAAAAATCGTTGCGTCAAGCTTAAAAATTGTAAATAGTAATTTAATAACTAAAAGTACCACTTTCGCAGATAGGGGAAAAAATTCTTCAGTCATCATAGAGATTGTAATGCAAAAAAAAAAAATTAAAAATCGAAAGTGTCTTTTTTTGAGAATACTCACTTTATAAGTTTAATTTCAACTTTTTTTGTTGCTTCTATTATAGGTACGTTATTTTTGAGCACATATTTGAAAAGTTTGGGAAAAAATAAATAACTTTCATATATAGCATAATTTTTAATTTCTTAGTACAAAATAGATTAAAAAATGTTCCAAAAACACACTATCTTTGTTGACGTTAAATTTCAAAAAATCATAATTGATTTTCATCAAATAAAAAAATAAAAAAAATACGTATTTCCTTATTTTTCATATAGATTTCGAAAAAAAATGTTTCGGACAAAAAAAAATTTTCAATGAAAATTTCCCATAGAATGCCCCATATAGAAAGAAAAACTTTTTTCTATGTACTTTTATAATGTTAAAATAATAGTGTAATCAAATAAAAACAATTTTTGATATAAGAAAAAATTATTGAAAATACCGTTCGGATTTACCACGGTTTTCCAATTTTCCGGGGTAAGTATACGAACGGTCTGATATTATTAATAAAATTTTACAGAAGGCAAAAATGAAAAATAGTTTCTGTTCTAGTATTCATAACAAACAATTATAAATAATAAAATGAATTTTTAACTTCTTTTTCTTCAAATACGAGACAAAATACTGAAAGAGTGACATCTTTGATTTTCGCAATCTTTTTTGCAATACTCATTATCTTTGTTTATGCTGTTGCTAATTAACAAACGAAAAATGGGATAATACTTAGAATTTCTTGAAGAGGATCTGAGGTAGAAATTAAAATTTTTCAAAATTTTAATTAAGCTGAAATAATTAGCGTTCGGATTTACCCCGGCTGACCCTAATTGAGAAAATAGTCCGATTTTTTAGTCCCGTAAAATAAATTGAAATAATAGGTCTGCATGATTGATTTGTAATTAAAGGTGGAAATTAATCAATCTGTCAACGAAAAAAAAAAAGTATATTTTAAACAAAACTCAATATAAAATTTATGCACACGAGAATATATTATATATATATATATTGTTCTGTTTTGAATCCATTTGTCAACGACGTAGTTCTGTTATACTCAATTTTGAATAAAACTGTAATTATCCAATCATAGTTTATAACGGTAATCATTCAATCGAAATTTAAGGTTAATAATTTTCCAGCACACGTCTTTGAAAAACATTCTGTTTTCATATAGCAATTTTCTTGTTCTACTTTTTTTTCAAAAAATAAAAATTTAACAACTATTTTTCTCATTAATTTAATAATTTCAAAACTAAGAACTCGCATAATTTTTACAACAAAGGTTTCAAAAAATAAACAGTCAATTTTTTCTAATATAAAAAATTCAATGCAATAAAAAATTGATATAAATAAAACTATTATACCATTTAATAATAATGTTATAAAAATCTTAAATAAAACTGATTCACGTCTGCGATAAGGTTATAATGGCAACACGCGAAAAAATATAGCATTTATCCAAGGTCCCTTTTGAGAAGGACAAGGTCTTTATGTATACTTGTTTTTCATTATAGCAATTTTACTCTCGAGTGTTTATTTTCTTGCTTTTTTTTTTAAGAGATAAAACTATAGAAAAATGTCTAGCTTTTAATTTACACTTTATATATTTATAAAATTGTTTGAAAATCAAAATAGACATAAGTACATATATACATAGGAAGAAGTATAAATGCAATAATAATAAATGTCATTATTTGCTGTGAAAGCACACATAATATGACGTATGTTTGAGAATAAAACTGTTATTCTTATATTATTTTACCAATATAAAATTTTATTTCCCTAAGGATTTTATATTCTAATTATTATTCCTAAGCAAATTCATTATTATTTCTCAATATATGAGGATAATGAGAGGTTTCTATATATTGAGACTAATAATACTAAAACATTTTATATGCGCTACTATACTTAATCGTCAAATTAAAAAAATAATCTTTAACAAAGAACAATTAAATATATATGTAATAAAAATAAAAGAAATACTTATTATTCAAAAAATAAAAGACTTACCAAGATGTGACGGATTGGAATCTGTAAAAAAACAAACAAATTTTTTTGTTAATAATTTTAAAAAATAAATGAAAAATAGAAAATAAATATTTGTCAATCGTTATTACAAAAATATAATAAATTTTTTTCTAATTAATTTTAATATTCGAGTTTTGTAAAACTGAGACATTTTCATCATATAATATTTATTTTTATAATTTAATTTATTATAAATTTAATTAAAACTTATTTTTAATTAAAATAATCATTTTATTCAAAAAAAAAATTCAATGATTGGATTATTTTCCAAATTGACAAAATAGATTCCGATGTGAATTGTATTTTTTTTTTTTTTTTTTTTGTATTACAATAAAAGGAAAAAAAAATTCTTTCTCCAAGTTTAAAAATAGACAAAAGCTACCCGGAAATATGGATGCACAATATGCATATCCATTATATTCTGACCGCAATTTGTTATTACGACGACAAAGTGAAGTTCAAGGAAAATCTACTATCGATCCTTTCAATTTTACACCAATTTCGTATTAGACGATGAAAAAAAAAAAAAAAATATATATATATAAGGCATAAAAATTGTTCAATTAATTGAACATATTTAATGTTAAATTATCATTATTAATTAAACATCGCATTTTTCATACAAATATTTTCTATTTGCCAAAATTCAAAATAGATTAAATTAAAATAATCGTAAAATTCTGAAATTTTAAATTTTATTCCATATTGAACTGAATTTTTAAAATAAATTTACATATATATCTAGACATGTGTCTAGAGAATTTTTGGCATCTAAATTTTAAAATTTTACTTTTACGATATATTGGAAAATTGCACATATATATATATATATATATATATATATATATATATTTATGAAATATGCAATAATTTATTTGACGTCGACAAGTTTCGAGAATCATTTAAATTTGAGTGCCATATGATTCATTATATATATGAAATCTAGTGCGATGTAATTGATGTTGGTTTATATAGACTTTAATAAATTGCGAAGGTTAAAAAAAAAATTACGTCGTATTGCAATTTTTTGGAATATTAATTTTTTTTTTTAAATTCAATTTATAATTAAAAATATGCAATTTAATATTCAATTTATAATTAATATAATAATTTTGTACTAATGAAAAACATTTTTAGAAAAAAAACTATATTTCAGTATATCTAAAATTTCATGAAAATATTGCAATTATTTCTGCAATATTAGAATATTGAGACAATGTTATGAAAATATTTCTCCATGGGAAATAATAATTAGTTTTATAATCTAAAAATTTTCTAATTGATAATTAAAAAAAAAAAAAAATTCTTAAAATACAATGAATTGATTCTGCGTATATATCATCAAGAACTATTTGACTTTATCTATAATGGCAGAGCGGATCTTTTCTCGCGTCTTTTATAAAAGGGTTAAAGATTTCGAGGGGCTTTTATATAGTATATATAAAGTGGAGCATTCGATTAAGTATTGGTGCATCAAATGTATGCAAGAAGAAGTCTATGGTGATAGTGAGAGATCCGATAAATGACATGCAAGTCATTCGTACTAAGGGGAAGAGAACGTAAAGGGAGATGCGTGCGTCATTGCGTATCTTGATTGAAACTCTCGTTGCGGGTTACCACCCTAAATGTAAAGCTGGGAACTATTTTCGTGACTCTGGCCTGGATCACGTTATATATTTGTGAATACATATATATATATACCCAAAAGAGAAAGAGAGAAAAAAGAGAAACTAAAATAGAAAGAGAGAAAGAGAACACCAAAGAAAACGTTCAAAAGCCTCAAGTAATGTCTGCTACTTCATTACATTATTTCTGTCACTATTCGCATATTTTTAGTAACTTCTTGTTTAATACCAATTTTCTTCAAAACTAACATTGTCATCCGACTCTTACAAATTTAAAACATATTTCCTTTTAAATACAATAATTTTTCACAATTAACATTTAAAAAAAAACAAATCTCGATTCTTATCAAATGTTCCACGAAATGTAAATTTAATTTATTCTCGTCAAATCTCATAATTTTTAAAATGAGACTCAATTTCAGATATTTATGCTCCAAATATCAATTAAATAAAATGAAATAACAAAAAATAGTTTTTAGTCGTACAAATTGAAAAATTTTAGAATAAATATTGCGAATCAATTTTTTTTTTACGACAAAGTATTTTCTGTATAAAAAAAAATTTAATTCGCAAAAAATTATTTTTACGATTCTAAAAAAAAAGTGAGACACTCATACAGTGACTACATCGTCACTTAATCGAGGTCTATGAGTAAATATTGTATCACTTCGAAGAATAGAATGATCGTAGAAGTCATTTATATTCTTTCTAAAAGCAATATTTATCACTATATATATACAATATTAGAATCTGAATCAGAAAAAAAATTTCTTTTCTTCAAAAAAAAAAGGGGAAAATTTGATAAATATCCTATTTTTGAAAATATAAATGAATTTTCCTTGATTTCAATGTAAAAATTTTTTGGCATAGACTTATTGCCGCCACGTGATAGTGGTAGCCAAAAATTAATGTAGAAAAACGTCCTTCAAAAAATATCTACACTCATGTCTGTCAATGACGATTATGATTTTTACTCTGAAATGCAATCAATTTTAGTTTGTTTATTCCCGAACATATAACTATCATTTTTGGCATCGTGTAAGTAAAAACAAAAACTTATATATATATATATTGCAACAATTACAATTTGTTTAATATTTAAGGAAAAACGTATTATAAGAGCGTTTTATTATATATATATGTAATTTTTAAATTAGTTCTTTGATCTGTGAATAAAGTTTATTTAAATCGCATATATAGACGAAACTACTCAGTATGTTAAATAAATATAAACGATTTGGGATTTCCACTTCCTGGTCTTTCTTTCTCAACCAAAACTCGAACAATTTTTCATATATTATAGAAAATTATTTTAAAAAATTATTTCTCAAAATAAAAAATTAAATTTGTTAAAAATAATTTTTTAAAATAGAAACAAAAGTTTTCATAAGATTTAAACGCATGAGAGCTGCCTTCTATTGAGAATATAATAATAATTCAGAAATAGATGTGTAAAAAAAACATTGAAGTCTTTTTAGTTCGAGGAACCCGGAAAGTTCATTACTTTTCTGACGTGAAGCGAATTTAAAATTAGGGTTTCTGTTACACAAACTTCATTTTTTTTTTTGTAGGAAAAAAAAGAAGAAACGATTATGACTTCCTCTTATATATATTTGAAAAGTTCAACATGTTTTGAATTGTATTAAGGCAAATCCCACAATCAAATAATCAAAAATTGAAATAAGAATAAAAAATATCAAAGTGAACAAGAGCTCCTCTTGATATATTTTTAAGATCAATTTGCGTCAATGCTATGAGAAACTTTATAAACTTTCTTCACTTTTATTGAATCGTTAAATGCCGTTTCAAAATTAGTTTATAAATGCCAGTTAAAAGCAATAAAAAAAAAAAATGATAACAAAGCACATTGTTAAATTGAGAGGAAAATTTTAAATTTAATGTTTGCTATAATTCAATATATAATAATTTTTATAATTAAGAATTAATTTAAAATATAGAAAAAAAAAAAAAAATGTTGAGAAACCATTTAATATGAGACCTTGTACAATATATATATATATGAACGTTATTTGCTTTTTTGCAATAAATCTCTATAATTTGTTATCTCATTGCATCGAATCACATGAGTCTTATAATACGTAATCACTGTTGCAAATATATATTTCATTATTAACGGGTTTTTGTAAATTTTCCAATTTATTACGCTACTGTTTTCTCTCATTTAACTTATTATTACAATTTGCGAGAGGAAAAAAAAAAAAAAAAAAAAATCCCCCCCGCGGAATTCTGATTAGAATTTATTTTTTCAGAATTGAGATCAAGTTTATCAGAATATTTAAACTGAGAGAAAATTGCTGGGGGGCATTACATATAAATATTATAAATCGCAAATCATTATGCAAAAGAAGCTATATTGCATCATTTAGTAAACTTCTTAATTAACTCATCTCATATACTGATAACAAAAGTCACGAGTATTTTAAATATTAAAAAAAAATAAAAATAATAAACAGTTAATAAAATATATTTTTCAATTCTATTTTGAAAACCAAATTTATTTTTTTGTAAAAATAATTGTTCTAAAAAACAAAAAAAAAAACAATTATTATTTAATCATGAAATTATAATCAATAAGAAATTAGATATTAGAACATCATTTGTTCGTGACTTGCAAACTACAAAGTAAATACACCTATATATAGGTGACCGTTTGTGGAAAAATTTGTGTTTTTTTTTTATTTTTCGAAAACATTTATGTTGTTTGTTAAACTGGAAAATATAAAAATAAAATTTTTTCAAATGTTTTTTAAAAGACCTTGAAAATTTATAAAATCAAGTGCAATATCTTTTGACGCGCTTGTCAGTCGATGCTCGCGGACAAATAGATATACTTGAAATAAAATTCCTTGACCGTGACTTGAAGCATTGCTGCATCGTTCGATAAATGTGAAACCCAATGTTCTACATATATATATATATTGTAAAAACAAATCGATGTGAATTTTATTAAGAATTTAATGCTCAAATAATTGACTATTAGATACTGCGCAGTTTGGACAAATTGTTTTTTTCTTTTTTTTTTACAAATTTAATTAGAATTTTTTTTTGTTAACTTTTAGACAACTATATATACGAAGAAATAATCAATATACAAATAAATGTTTTATAAAAAAAAAGACATGAAATTCTTTCTAGGAAAAACACATATTTAATTCGAAAAGAACAAACAATTAATATTTGAGTATTAATTCTAATTTTTATTTTTAATTCAACTGAAAAATCGCGTTTTTTTTGTATCATAAAAAAATCACTTGTTTTTAATATGATTATTTTTTGTAAAATAAAAAAAGGATAAAATAATAAACATTGATTATGATTTAAAACTCAATTAAATGAAAGAACCATGAATGAATTTCA